CCCCCCCCCTCCTCCAAAGTTAAGTTGTGCAAGTACCAAACTCAGCCTAGGCATTCTGTGGGAGTTGTATTAAAAAGACAACTCCAAACAAGTTGTCCACTTATAAGGGGGGTTGGGATGGGCTCTTAACCAAAACTACACATTCAAATATTCATTGAATTTGAGGAAGACTCAGTATTATTTTACATTCTGGTGCTAACTCCTGCCTTCATTACAAACTGGCTCCAAGTTACCAGAAACTTTTAGCAATTATTTAAAATCCTGATTTTGCAACCTACCTCTCCCTATGGAAAACTAAAAGCAAAGCCTGAAGGAACACCAAGCCAAAAAATCCTTTCAACAACAACATATAGCTACCTTGAAGACTTTAAGCATTCAGGAGCTACCATACTCTGAATTAGGATTTCATTTTGCAAAACACAAATCAAATCTGGATCTGTCTCTGCAGCATCACTCTGACCACACACTTACTGAGATTAAGGTCCTATTTCTACAGCCCTTAGTGGGAAGATTCCACAAGAGAAAAAAAAAACCTTTTTTCTTATACATATTCATGGATTTGATTCAGCTCCAAGATGGCTGTTTTCATCCACAGTCTGTCTTTTGAGCACCAGGCTCAGATGCTACATCCACAATGTAGCTGAAATTAACCAAAATACTGCTTTAATTGGCTTTTTACAAACAAGAGAAATATGAACACATCTCCTCCTGTGAAGTTTTCTGAAGTACTTCTTCAAACCTGGAAGGAGGAACATAACATACTCAGCAGCACTTAAGTTCAAACGTCTGTGAATCTGGGCTTTAAATCACAGCTTAGAAAGAGCTCTTTGCCCAATGCATTCAGTGAAGACTCTGTGTCAAACCAACGCTGCTCTCTAAAAATCTCCTCGTAAATTTCCCTATTGTCATTTGAGGAGGAAAACAGTAAGCTTTCCAATGTATAGTAGGTCAACAAGAATACAGTGAAAATACTGAATCAAATGGGATTCATATGATCTATTTGAAATGTGTCACTCCATAGAATAGCTTCCCCTTGCTAACCAGGGCTGCTTTCCAGCTGACCATCACTTACAGTCACCTCCTCTAAAAAACCTCACGTACACACTAAATTTGACTGTTGCCATGGATAGTACAGCTGTGCAGAATTGCACAGTTATGCTTTTGGGTTACTGTGCACACTTTTTATTGCTAAGTTGATGCAAATCCTTACCCATTTTTAGACAGCAGTTAACATTCCTGTTGCTGCAAAGAGGATACACAGTTCTCCTCCGTTATTAAAAGAAATCTGCCTGTCCAATCCAACAGAATCTCTCCGAGACCTCCAACCTGAAGACAACAGAAAGATTTCTACATGTTAGACAGGACCAACTCTACAACGCAAGTAAATGATTGGATCAACAGCTATATACCCGACATCTCTCTGCAATCTAAGACTTTGGCAAATAAGTCAAGCATGATAGTGTTGCTGAAATTTCATTAAGCAGGACAAGAGTTGAAAAAAGATCTGAGTGCACTTTATAAAAATCTGCAGATCAGTCATTTCCATATCTTATTTCTCATAAGGCAGATACTGCAGGCAGGAAGGTCAAACCCATGGTTTTTAAGGCATTCGTCTTTGGTTTGATGCTCTGTCATTAGAGGTATGAGGCTGATTTCTGTGTTCTGTCTTCATGCAAAGCAAAGCTCTCTAGAAAAGTTCATGTAAAAAGCTATCACTCATGTAAATGCAAAGCAATCTAAAGCTAACAGTACTCTCACTCTTCTTGGAAATACCTGCTTAAGTTGGTAGCTGTGACTGAAAAAGACAATTAACTCGGGCAGGTATGTATTGCAAAGCTGTATGTAATGGAAAAAAAAATATGAAAATGTCTTACCGCATCCAAGTCTTTTAACAGTTTGAGCTTTTTTTTTTGCGTTGAAGTTTCACTTCCCAAAACAGGACATCACAAACCAATGAAAACCATGTTTCTGGAAGTTACACTGAAATATGTTTTCTTATTCATTCTGCACGGACACAAACAACTAGGATTCCTTTTGTTGAAATGGCCTACTGTACACTACACAAGCACAATGAGATCAGCTGTAAAATTTCAACCACAACGGTAATTACACTTTGTACAGTTATTCTTAATATATGTTAGAAAAAGTTAATACTCCTGGGGAAAAAGAAATGAGAATAATAATTTTAGATTCATAGTTTATAACTTGACAGTCATTGGCCACATGTGGAAACAGGCTGCCTCTCTTGATGGATCAGTGACAGGAGGTATGTTAATTAATATAGCAATGAGCCATTAATACGGTATGCATAAGTAAGCTGTTACACACAGAGCCTGGAAACAGGATGGCAGAAGGGAACAAAGGCAGGTCTGTCTTCAGTCCAGAGAAATGCATCACTAACTGATTACTATACACTGTGGTATGAGGCTTTGACACTGAACTCATTGCTTATCTTCTCCAGAATTCTTTTGACAGTATCTTTCAACTATGAAAGATGCATTTTTGAAGGGAGGAAATTATAAACCAATATTTTTTCCACTATTTTGAGAAAAGAGGCTTGAGTAATACACCAAGAATCTCTTATCTGCATCCTTATTCCATTCACCCTTTTAAAATTCTCTGAATTATTTGGAATCAATTTTTCATCTCACTCAAAATACAATCCAGCAGATGCCTCGACAGTGATTTTGAGATCACTATGCCTGGCACTCTGAAGAGTGATTTCTCTCTCTAGAAAAGGAATGTCTTATCAGTCTGACAGGGTGGTGCAACACTGCACCAGCAACACTACCACCTGCACCACTCAGCGCTCCAGATGTTGAAGGGCATCAGTGTAGCTGCATAATGTTTGTTTTCAGATAGTGCCCTGAGCACAAACTAAGTCTCTACACACAACCTTTCTAAACACAAAAAAAACCCTGTGATTCATTCGTACTGTAGAACACATTTCTGTTTTATTCAAGCTCTTCCAAAATTAGGCCACATAAGTCACACATAAAATTCACTATCTGCTACAAAGGCATTCCAGATTTCCATTTCCCCAGACACTGGGAGACAGGCACACAACAGTCTCATACAGAAAATGTGATGAGAACTAGTGGCTGAAGTCAGTGGAATTCTGCTCTCAGTCACATCAGAGAAAATAAGAAAGGACTCCATAGGAGTCAGTACAGTTACACTGATGTAAAAACAGGAATGAAGACAGAATTAAGACCATTCAAACTCAAATCAGACTCTAGAGATCTGCCTGTTTGAAGGATCAACATATCCTTAACCCAAATTATTTGATTTATTACACATTCTCAAGTGAGAGTTTGATGAGGTTGCTTCAGAGGGACTCTTTTACTCAGTTAGGGATATGTTGAACTGAATTGCCAAAACACAATAAAACAGTCAATATGCCTCATTATTTATGAGGTTATTAGTAACATCTTAAGTCCTGAAAAGAAAACTTAGTGGAGCATTTGTACATTGGAAGATGCAGCAAAATCATTAGTCAATGCTCATATCACTTCTGCAAGGTGGAGAATAGTTTTATCTCTGCTTTGCTAACCAAGGAATTCTTACAGGAAGTTGCAGTGACTCAAGACTATCAACCAAAGCTGAGAAAGACACATGGTTAAGAGTCCAGGATTGCCTTCCATAATGCAGCACGTCACCCAGACCACCAAGTCCACGGTCCAAGCCTCTTCTTGTTTGCATCGGTTACAAATTTTGTTTGTTTCAGCAGATTTTGAACTCCTGATTTACACTGATAGGAAGAGGGAATACAACTCTCCATACATATGGCTTGGATGTTTTCCCTACCCACCTCTGACATCAAGCCCCAAAATAATCTTACTTGCTTTGCAAGTGGGGAAAAGTGACCCTTCTCTCCATAAACATTCTCTCACTATGACTAATAGCACTCCTCTGAGCTAGCCTCATGCTAGAGGGAATCTTCATCTGTATCAATGTCGCTGCTTGGTTTGTTCAGTCTCTCAAATTCTTCTCCATCCTACAGGAATCAGAAGAGAACAATGTGAGCAAAATTCATCTTGCTATTAATACTAGGGGAAAAAAAAAAAAAAAGGAAAACCAAGAAGAGCAGAGTTTACTTTGAAGGCATCACTTACACAAAATCAAGACCCTGTAATTTAAATATCTTACCAGTGTGTTATAATCTTGCTCTAGGATATACATGCTCATAAAAAACATCCCCCGTATCTTTAACACTTTTTAGTGATCCGGTTGGTAGCCCATTCCTTCATCAGGAAGCCTGCTCACACAGTGCTATTTGTTTTTACCATAGCTGCTCAATTGTAAGTGCTAAAATAGGTAACACCTGGTATACCAAAAATACATGACTTCATGTTATTTACCACTGTTAAACTACAGCCTAAAAAGGCATCATGTGGAATTTCTGGAAAACATCTTTTCCAAGTTTAATGTTTCTTAGCATTAAACGGAGACAGCACTCTGCTGGTTGCAACCTGTATTACAGAACCCATCTGTGCACACAGACAGAAAGTGCACAGACATGAACCTCTCCCGCTCAGACTGACGGCTCAGCTCAACTGAATGGCATATCTAAGAGCACGCCCTCCCTGCCATGTTCTAGTTAACGAGATTACTATTCAAATTAGGACAAAAACACACTCACAGGCCTGGAGGAAATGTTTCGTAAGAAAAAAACATGTTAAAACTCTGTATTTAAACATTACCTTTTTGTCTTCAGGTATCTCTGACTATTAAGATGGAAAGGATCGTAACATCAAATATATCAACTTCTTCATGATGTGGGCTCAGCTACACAGATTTATCAGTTCTCCTTAAGTACAATTATTTCCCAGGCATCAATTCCAATTTCTGGATGCCCAGGGCCAGTAAAATATTTTGGTTATAAAGGTTTCAAGAGAGGACTCGTACAAAGCTAAAGTTGCTCACAGGATTGTTTATAGTCACAGCAGGAAAGCTGCTTACCTAGGCTTCAAGAATCAAAAAAGGGGAATATGCAAAGCAACACCCAATCAATTTAAAAGATTTTAAGAAACATTGAGGAGTTTTGGTGTTTGAGTTGAGAGATGAGTCCAGTCACATCCAAAATGAATCTTCCAAAAGTTCCATAGTACAAATGGAGGTGAAACAAGAGAGAAATCACAGGAGACAAGTACAGAAAAGCCTTACCCCACTTGACCTCTCCCATGCATCTCCTTTGACAAGTTTGCCCCTTTCCCGCAGAGTGGCATATTCCAGGCCTCTTGGTTTACTGGCATTATAGATGAATATGGAGAGAAGCACTACAGGAGCTTCCAAAAAGAACTCTAGAGAAGGCCTGAAGTCAAAGATGACGAATGAGACGGAGGTGATGATGACAGTGGTGATCTGAGCAGTCATAACATGGAACATATTGTCTCGGAACTTCAAGATGAAGGCTACAGACAGCCCCAGGAAAGCTGTGACAAATATAAGAGCCACTGAGAAGATGTTGTGCCCATAAAAGAAGCCACAGTTCCCTATCTGCCTCCGGTCCTTGGCCCGCAGCCCCAGCATAAGCCCATTGAACAGCACCCCAAAGGCATAGAGTTTGCTGTTCTGCATGAAGATGCTTTCAGCAAGCTGATCCCCATCTTTCAAGATCTTTTCGTTGTAGATGTTAGCCAGGGCAGAAATGAAACACTGCACTAAAATAAGCAGATGGCCCAGGCTGAGGCGGAGAGGTTTCAATGCTCCTGCCATGGTACTGGTGACATTCCACTGGAAGCTGGGAAGGAAACTTGGTGCCTCGCAGTTGCCCTTTTCCAGGCATGCTTCCTCAGGGCCGGCATAGAGAAGGCAGTGGTTAGCTGGACTAAAAAACATACTGTGATGGAATCCGTGCACAGCCAAGCTTTGCTGATGGCCTCCGGTTCCTAGAGTCAGGGCAACGATGGACAGGAATAAAATCACCAGGGATGCCCATTGTACCCAAGAGAGTTTTCGCCTAGGAGTAGACAAAAAAAGCCACCGACTTTAGAAACACAGTGGCACAAATTAAGTGACAGGAGAACAATCTCTACAAAACACATAAAAGACATTATGTCGCAGATAAGGAGACAGAGACAGTGCAAACAAACATCTTGGCTTTTTGGAATTGACAGTAAAATGCCAAAATGCAACATGCTTTTCTATGGCAAGGGGAGCCCAGCCTGGCAATCAAAGAAACACAAAATGGAATATTCTGTAGAGATAATTTAAGGAAAGTCTTTCGACATCATGTTGGTTCTAGATATTGACTGCCTGACAACTTAAAAGCACCTGTTGTCTCCATGGGAACACAGGTATGATGGATAAAAAGAAACCACAGACATTCAAATAATTACCTTCTTTCTTTGGTAAACTTTCACTGCATTTCACTTTTCCCCCATGATTTTGTGTCCTTTTCTAGTATTTTATGATAGTAAATCATATAAATCTATGGATGTAATTTGTAAGACTGTTAGAATTATTTATACCATTTTTTCACTCCAGCAAAGCCTGTTTATCTCAGCGAAAATCAGAAATTTGGAAGATTAAGTCAACTGTGACATCACAAGAGACATAAAACTAAACAATTGAGAAAAAGCATTTCAAGTCAGACCATCAGACACTCTCGGTATATTAACACCTATAGAAAAGGTGTGTTTGCTCCATGTTCAACACAAGTGACTTCTTGAGTAGAGTGTGAAGTTGATATCCATCTCCCTGTCAGTCTCTTCTGAATCTAAATCTCACCATAAACAGCACAAATCAGACAGAGCGGAACACACAGGACAGAGAGGCTGGCTTTTGTCCCACGAATAATGAAGAAAGGACATACAACTACTTTTCAAAACGTACCATGCAGTTGACCAGAAACACATCAGGATGGCACAATACTGGCACAATACTGGCACAATACTACCAAAGACACCGCTATCTTTCACTCTTACCTATGTCATCCCCTCTTGTTAGATGACATTTACATTCAGTTAAGAATTACAACAGACCGGAAAGAAGTACTGCTAATCAAGAAATACGATATTTAATGTACAAATGAAAGTACCCAAACCTTAATTCTGACCATCCAACAACTATATAATCATTATTTCAGTTGTCTTCCATTACAGTTGACCAAATGTGTAGAGATATGTAGGGACTCCTAATAAGCTATTACTTCCTATACCTTCAGATGTAGAAAAAACACATCTCTCCACGTTGGTATAGCCGCAAGAAAACAGAATTACTGTTCCCATCAGACAAAGAGAAAGAATGTAGCTTAACTTCATCAAAGCTAGGAAGACACAAAATCTCATTTACTTTAGTAAATACTACTTACTTTAGCACTATCCTGAAGAGAAGAGCTGTTGTTATAATGACAAAATTTGAGAATAGTACAGCCATTGCCTAGAAAGAGAAGAAGCGGAACAAAGTTATACTCCAGACAGAGCATTGACATCAAAAGCCCACCGACTTCAAGCATTCAGCTTTCTGCAAGGTACCAGAATGAAACGCACCATCCTGGTACTGAACTTCTTTCCTCACCCAAGTGGTAGAACAACACGCCCCTACAATGACATTCATGTCCCATTTCAAAATCTCAAGCAAAGAACAGAGCCTAAGTTCCACTGTAGTGGGGAAAGCTGTACTGAAACAAAGATGTGGGGAAAACAATCCAGCGGAAAACTTGCTTAGCAAAAAAAACGGTTTAGGTTTCTGTCAGACCAGCTCCCCAGTCAGAATGACCAGTCAACTGTGTCAGCACAAAACAAGTTGATCCAAACGAAAATAAGGAAAGAATAAGGGAAGGCGAAGCTGCTTCTGGCTGCAGAGACAGCTTGCAGCATATGTGAAATCCCAGACATGGACACAGCACTTGCAGAAAATAAACTTCTTGCACGTTGTGCTGGGTTGGTGTGGCAGGATTTTGGTAGTGCGGGAGAAGCTACCGGGGTGGCCCCTGTGAGAAGCTACTAGAAGCTTCCTCAGCTCCAAGCTGAACCCACCACTGGCCAGGGCTGAGTCAATTAGTGGCTCTGTGAATAACATATTTAAGAAGAGAAAAAAAACAAACTGCACCATGTGGAACCTGCAGTAGAGAGAGGGAGAAGACACGGGCACTGTCTGCGCTGGGCCGCCAGCCTTTGCCTAGTGGGGGTGATGGCAGCTGCGGTGGCGCAGCTTGGAGCGCTCTGAAGCTCCTGGATCCGTGAATGCCCACTGGGCAGAGCCTGTGCCGTCGGGGCCGCCAGGGTTCATCAGGCCTGGTGGGCCCGGTGTGGCTGCAGCAGAGAGAGGAGTGGGACATAAGAGAAACAACTATGCAAACACCAAGGCCAGTGAAGATGGAGGGAGAGGAGGTGCGTCAGAGCTGACATTCCCCTGCAGCCCATGGTGAAGAGTAAGAAGAGGCAGGTGTCCTCCTGCAGCACATGGATGTTACTGGTGGAGCAGAGATCCATCTGCAGCCTGTGGAAGACCCCACACCAGAGCATGTGGCTGTGCCCAAAGATTGTGACTCTGTGGGAAGCCCGTGCTGGAGCAGTCTGTTCCTGAAGGACTGCACCCCATGGGAGAGACCCACGCCCAAGCAGTTTGTGAAGAACTGGAGCCCAGGGGAAGGACTCACATCGGAGAAATTCATGGAGAACTGTCTCCCATGGGAAGGGATCCCATGCTGGAGCAAAGGAAGAGTGTGAGGAGTCCTACCCCAAAGGAGGAAGATGCAGCAGAAACAACGCATGACAAACTGACCACAACTCCCATTCCCTGTCCCCCTGCACCCCTCAGTGGGAGGAGATAGAGAAACAGGAAGCAAAGCTGAGCCTGGGAAGAATGGAAGGGCAAGGGGAAAGTGGGTTTTATTAAGATTTGGTTTTGTTCCTCATTATCCTCTCTGATGTGATGGGTAACAAATTCAAATGACTTTTTCCCCCAAATCGAGTCTGTTTTGCCCATGACCATAATTGGTGAATGATCCTTGTCTTGACCCACAAGCCTTTTATTGTATTTTCTCCTCTCCATTCCACTGCAGGGGAGGGAAGTGAGCGAGCAGCCACGTGGCACTTAGTTGCTGGCTGGGCCTAAACCACATGTCAAATGCATTTGCTGTACCGTTTATCAAAGGTTAAGGAGGTTCTTGACTTGAGTTTTCAAGACTACAAGTGTACTAAAAAATTCATCTGTTTCAAAGTACAACTGGAGACAACTCTAAAGCTCCTGTCTAATTTGGGAATCACTGTATAATAATGACAGTGCCCAAATCCATGGCCATAATCTCAAGCTGCAAACTCCTTGTAGCAAGGATTGTCTTTTCATTCTATTAGACACTCTATACTGGGACACTGGACCAAGAAGAGGCTCTTTTAGGCACTGCAGTTACCACTAAAGATCAGAATTTACCAGCACCAGTGGGGAAAAAAACATTCTTTTTATGGGGTAAGGGTGTTTCCCAAAGTGTGTTCTATTCAGGACTGCCCTGTGTAGTCAGTACACATACAAAAATCCAGGCATCTGAACTATTTCCTCCAAGTTAGCCTTAGAGTGAGATCACTTTTTTAGACAATTATACCCCAAAACATAAATGGATTCAGAAGTGCAAACACAGACTTTATCTTCAACTTTCTTATCTGCATATCCGCGTTCCCAATTCTGCAATAGCAGAGCTTTTCTCATTTACCAGAGGAAAAGCACAAGCCCTTTTCCCATTACCTTAGTTCCACTCTATTCCAACATACATCTGCTAAATAATAAACCCCATGAAACAGCACAACACAGGATCTCAAGTAAGCTGAAGACTGACACGAGACATCTGCCCAAGAAACCACTGCTTAATTTTCCACTTTGCAAGATTACAACTCAATAAATATTGATGTTAGGTGAACACTGTGGAAGGAGAAAAAGTGAACCTGGAACTAGCAGAAACCACTCTTGAAAAGGGAAGCTTGACACAAAAGGTACAGGTGTTCCATGATACTATGGTTTTGCTACGCTGTCAAAGTCCCCCAGGCAACATCTCTGGTAACACAATATGATCAAAATTTATAGCGATAGTTACAAGGTATTAATTTTGAGTTGCTTTGTTCTCTGAGGCCTCAAGGGACCTCTGCCCTAGATGAGAAGGAGTAAGAAAATAATTTACCAAAGATCACCATGCCACTAACTTACATGTCACAAACAAAGTTCCTAAAAAATAGGTCTTATCACTAGGAAACGTTAACCACTAAAGAGTACCCAAAGTTCTAGCTGAAGCTCCAAGCAAAAAAAAAATGCCACCAAAGCAACTCTATACTTCAAGCAACTGATCACCCAAGTACTACTTAGTTCCAAACCTGCTTAGTTTTTAAAGAAGTTTTAAAATGAAACCAAGTCCAGTCAGGTATGGCCGCCACCTTCTGAACCAAAAGGTATCCTAGCATGAAAATAAAAGAAAGCACAAAAACTGTACTATTTCCTGAGCATAGGTAGATTCATCCAAAAGACTGAATGTAGCTAGAACAAAGTGTCAGTTAAATTTTGTGCTTAAACATAACTAAAAAACAAATGCAAAAATTAAGAGTCAAACAGCTTTCTTCCTCCTCTCCTCAGTTCCTACTACACTTACCCCCTTTGTGGGATTACACTTATCTCACTTTTCTTTGGAGTCAGTGAGGAAAGAAACCAAGTCATCACGTGAAGTCACATACCTAAAGTGGTAGGAGCTGCACAGAAAAGTGCAACGCAAATACTAGCAAGATGAGGAAATGCATTGAAAGAGAAATACAGAGTTGAAGAAACCAAAGGAGGGAAAGCACCAAAAACCTGCCTAATACTTGGGCAATTCAGCCTATTTCTAAACCACTTTGGATGGAGAAAATACGCAAGAGGCTCTCCTCTACTGAGAGCTGTACAACACTGACAAGCGAGCGAGAGAATGGGAAGGTCTGCCTGGTCAGGTAACAGATCATTCTTTTACCTGCAAGTCTTGCCTGGCCAGTGTTACAGCTGTAGATAGTCCGAGGGCAACAACACCTACCACTAAGTCACTGGAAGATACTTTATTCAGTACATGTATACTTACTGGCTGGAGGTAGGACAGGACGTAGAAGACAATCAAGTTATCCAAAAAGTAAAGAAAAGCAGGAATTGACCATTTCATGGAATTACAAAAATTCTTCCAGGAAAAACATTCAAAAGGGCGATCCAAGCAACCCTCTGAAAGGAAAAGAATTAGTAAGAAAGGCATCTTCCTTATTGTTGAAAGCCCATTCCCTTATAACAGAATAGGTACCACTGCTCTGTTTTCAGGAGCACTGTTGGACCAAAACAAGCTGAAATACCACAGACCTCTGGCCACACAGGGGCCAGAACTGGGGCAGAATACACAGCTAAAGCAGCAATCCTGTGCATACGGGCATTCACCTCCTTGCTTCAGCAGAGACACCATCAAGAAGTCTTTCGCCCCCATCAGAATATTTGTCAACTGGGAGCAACTTCAATTATCAACCCTTCTTTGAGGGCCACAAAGCACCCTAAAGTCCCCACACAATAGCGACATGACTGGGTATGATTTTCTGATGATAATCAACCAAATCTAGAACTGAAACAGTGGCACAGACAGTGGATCTGTTCATATAGCACCTAAAGGGCAGTCAGCAATGTTAGAAATACAAAATAAACCAGAACTCAGTACCTATAGCACACAGCACATCAGCTGCGTAAAAAGAGAACATCTAGGAAGAAGGAGGAAATAAAGGACAAAGAACAAAGAATGACATTTACTTAGGTATTCAGGACACATACTTCAGGAGGAAGACTGTGATAAACCTTAGACTACCCTAGGGTTGATGACAGAAGTACTTTGTTAGCACAGATTTAAGACTACACAATGTTATCTAAATCCTCTTCTGAACCACCAACACATTAGTTCACCAAAACTCAGATATCTGGAAGCAGGGGGAAAAAAAAAAAAAAAGAAAAAAAGAAAAAAAAAAAGGAGGGAGAAGAAAAAAAAAAGGAAGAAAACCAGAAAACACGTAGTCAGCAGTAGCAAATGATGGCAAACACTGCCTGAATATATTTACTATCTTATCTGTATCTGTGTTATATGGTGGAAGTAAAACTTTTATCAGCTTGCCAGAGCCATGACTGCTCCAAGGAAAAGTGGACAAAACTAGCACTTAAATTTAACATGAGTCTCCAGTGCCTGACACCCTCTTCCAATTTTAACATCTGTCCTCTACCATTCTGAAATTCTATGAAGTTAACCTCTCATCTTTTTTACATCAGGGCAGAAAACCTAGGATGGAAAAACAGCCTGCAACACAAAACTAGTAGCTCGAGAAGCCTGACACTGCTTTTCCTGAAGCGCAGCCCCAAGATTTAACTTCACAAAGCTATCGTGAATTATAACATTGATATGTTGCTTCTGACTCAACCACCACTACACACACACAAAGCCCCTTCAACGGAAGGTGGTGGTACTTTTAAATACAAGTGGTCAGAAACCAGGACATAAAGGCCAATCCCCGAGTTAGTGCAACTTATAAGCTTCTGTTCAGTCGTGACTTCAGTGAGGTGGCTCCTATTACGCTAGCGCGTTACTCTGTGTTAGAATTCTGAAAATGTCAGACTGTGTCTTCATTACACTTTCTATTTCAACTGTCCCCATTTCAACTACCATACACACAACTCAAGAACACCTGAATTTACAGCATGAAGCAGAGTTGCAAAAGTAAAGTTTAGTTATAATTCTGCATGGAAGACAAAATTTCAGTGAACCTTACTAGCACAACCTACTCCATACTACTCCACGTGAACTTATCATTAAAAAAAAGAAAAAAGAATTTGAAATACAGCAAATCTTAGAAAGACAACACATCTCAGTTATTTTAAAAATAGGTACTTACCTTTTTTCTTAACCCACAGTGCCAATACAACACACAGGATCAGTTTTACTACTTCAGAACATATGTTCACTGTTGTAGGAAGGTAATCATATTTGTTATCTGTGGGATTCAGCAAACCATAGAGAGTACACAATCAGATTCTGTCTCCTGCATTCATAATTAAAGCAAGAAACTATTTTAACCCCCCCAGGCAGAATTTTAGCCACTTTCCATAAATGCAAAAGGCTATGTCAGCATTTTCATTATAAATATTCCAAATTTTATGATATACAACTTCCTGAACAGCCTCCCTTCTGGGTTGAAATCTTTCCTCATTTGGTCCCAGTTTACAGCAGAACTTTTTGGAAGAACTCAAGAGTATCACGGTTTTAAAAAAAATTTAAACCAGGAATGTTTGCCTCAAACAGCAATATGCTATTTTTTCCCCTCACAAAAAACAGCTTCCAAGACGACACAACATTTTTCTAGGACTGTATCTTGTCTTTGTTAGCATATTTTGCTAACACTTGGCAACAGGAGAAGCTGTAACACTAGCCAGTTATAGCACGCCCACTATGACAACACTTTTCTCCTAAGCCTGTTGTGAGATGAATATTTTAGTTAAGACGCATATCATCAATAGTGCTTACGCAACAATTTAAGTCTTTGAAAATCAGCTACGAAATAATCCACTGCCTCATCTTTTAAGGATGAATCTCCACATGGATCATACACCTTGCAACCCAAGTTGCAACTTTATCTTAGACCTATACAGAAATTTTCTAGTACGCAAACACGTATCACTATTGATATAACAGAATGTTTACGCCAAGAACTCTGCAGGTAGAAAATTAGGCTTTTGGGTATCTGTTTTACCCTAAATGTCAACTCTTTCTTATTTGAGGTACATTATGTTTATTGCCCAATAGCACCTTCATTGGCAGAATACTTCATCAAGAGGATCCGACTTGAGCCCAGCGCAATAAACACTCCTCCAAGCAGAAAGGTATAGGTGGTTGTCTTGGAGCAAACCAGAAATCGACTGCAGCACTTGCCCTCCATTCTTCTGTCTTGTTGTCAATGCCCTTTGGACGACAAAATGAAAATACGCTATAAATAGCACTTCCAGGAATCAGTTAAACACGTGTATTTTACTGCTTTGTGTTATCTTATACAAAGATGCTTGCATCACAAGCCATGATTTCGTTCTACAGTTATCTTTTTCTTTCTTAATTAAAAAAAAAAAAAGAAGACAGGAGAATATGCTACGAGGACCAGCAAAAGGAGATAAACAATGTATACACAGTGACTCAGAAGGTGGCACAAAGAGGCCAGTTCGTCAGAAAAGTACATTTACGGAATACTGATTAGCTGAAAGAATTGAATAAATTACGTGCTTATTTTTCTTTAATATTTTTAGACAGCGTTCTCGTTCCTAATTCCAGTAAGGAAAAGTTCTAGCGCTGTGGAGCGAGAGCAACACCGCAGAGATGACATGGGGCTCGCTCAGCACCGGCTTGTGCCTCGGAAGGGGATGAGGAAGCCAGACTACTGGAGGAATCCGGATTGCTGGAGGCAGAGCCTGAGCTGTACCCA